ACTTGCAATCTATCTATTCCATGGTATATGAGGGATCCACCGCTGTTTTCAGGAATATTTCTGGATTTATGGAAAGATCCAAAAGGACTGTACTGCTGTTCCTGAAAAATCTCACCTTCTGCCCGTACTACCAGCTCTCTGCAACAAACTAAGCCAATAAATCCACCTAGCTATTGCTCAAGTCTCTAAACAGAAAACATGATCTAAGCCTGTAAAATCGCAGAGAGCATAGAGAAAATGGATAGGGATTTTCTTTTTTTAGCATTTCTCAAAGGATGTTTTGTGGGGGGACATTATGCATTACTATTGGGCAGATGAGAAAGTTTTTTTCACATACTGTGCAGTCTAACTGCACAACTCACTGCCACAAGATACAAATGCTTGAAATGCATGATTAAAAACAAACAAACAAGCAGCTAAACCAAACAATTATTTGACAAATCCAGAGAAGAAAAATAACAATCAAGAACTATCAAACCTACAGCTCCTCCTCAGCTGTTCCTTCCCAAGCACTCAGAAAATATAATGGGAAAGCAGTTAGCATGTTTCTCCTGTTCCTTCATCCCACTCCTAAGCATGTTTTACTGACCACAGAGACAAAATACCCGGCTGTAGACATTTGGTCTACACCAAGCAAGGCCATTCCTATGCAAGTATCTGCCCCATCCCAGTTGAGGCTAGGCTTAATTTCCCTTCAGAGGCAAGCCAGTGTGCAGCAACAGCACAGAACTACTGAAGTTCAGAAGCTTTGTTCCAAGCTAAGGATTTCTTACATGTTGCTGTTAAAGTAATGGAAAGACCGTATAAACTAGACAGCGTGAGGAAAACTCCCAGTACAATGTGCCTCTCCCTACATCTGCCTCAGGCTTTTAAAACTCATTTCCATAGTAATTTCCTTCTCAACTTGACATTGCTTTGCTCCTAGTTCAATGAATACCTCCCCTGTTTAGTGAAATTCCTGCTAGGATACAGGATGTGAAGGCTTAATACAGTTTGCATTCAAATTACATTTCTATGCCTTCTTCACGATACATAGTTTTAAATTCCAAAGTACTGGTCAACACCTTAAAGAAAAACAAAATCACTGAGGCAAAACCCCACTTCCTGGAATACAGCATGAATTCTCAATTAGATTATAACTTAACCTGAGCCCACGCACATTAAGAGAGTAAGCAAGGAGCTTTCCATGCTCTGCACAAGAACTAATCTCAACTGCTCTCCGTGAGAGCAAACTGCTGAAACTCGGCCATGCCAATTTGTGAATTCAAAAACCAGCATCATTCAGATGTCACTGAATGCATCAGGATGTATACGGATTCTTGCAGCCAACCCCATGACCTTACAAGACAGTATAGCTCTCAGTGGTGACAGAGAAGTAATCCCACAAAATTTCGACCTAAGTAAGTTAGACTTGCTCTGATCTCTCACTGATACTGCACTTCTGCTTCAGACCTCACAAACTTCTTTCAGGACAGAATTTTTTGTTGCTAAACAAGCTTAAGGACAGAGAAAAGCTTGCAAAAACTATGGAAGTCAAAAAATATCTGACAGGAGGAAAATCCAAATACCTGTTCAGGCATTACCAATAAGATGGAGACCAGGGGATGCAAAGGACATGACCTGGAGCCCAAGCGCCTCCTGTTCAGGAGTTCCACAGGTACCCATTGTTCACTGCTCCACTTTGCCACCTCTCAGGCAGTTCCTGGCCTGCAGCTCTGAGACCCCTCAGATGCCCCCAGAACTCGTACAGAATGGGCAGGACAGAGTCTGTCTCACAGCAAAAACTGTGCCAGCATAGGCTCTGGTTTCACGGCACAACAGACTGTAGTCACGCTGTTCTACATACACCTAAAGTTGTTTAGAGACCAGAAACATCCAAATCTTAAAAGATGACAAAATGTTTGGGACTGTCTGACAGTACTGGGGCAAAAAAGGCAAAAGGTTATCAATGTAAGCACTTTGGCTAGAAACAAAGAATAGGAAGAATAAACTTAAAGCTTTCCAGTCTAACAGTGATCTATAAATGGTCACTAAACAAAAAACAGGAACTGAAATAGCTGCATATCCACACGTTGTGGAAGTTAGGATACAATTCAAAACGCAGGACTTAGCCACTCACTGCCATCAGAAAGGCTGGCTTCCCCTTCCTCTACGTGTAGAGTTTTGCTCCCTTTCCGCCTGCTGTAGTATTCACTTGATTCCTAGAAGGGCTGATTAAGGTCACTACACCAGTAGAAAAATAGCCCAGCCAGGAAATAACAAGTAAATGCAAAGAGGAAAAAAAAAAAAAAAAAAAAAAAAAACCTTCTATCAAAAGATCATTTTGATTAGAAATTGGGTTTTGGACTAAGCACAACTTTTTGAGTGTCTGTTTTCTGCAGAACACTTTAGATTTGTCAAAAATGAAGACCATCTTCAGTCAAATGACAGAAACTCAAAGAAAATGAAGAAATCAAGCCCAGAGGAGATGCAATTGCATGCTGTTCTGCCCTATGCTTCTATGAAAGTTTTCTTCTTGTTTCCTATAGCATGTGGCTGAAAGGTCTCCAGATTGTGAAGGCTGCTACAGCCAAGCACAGGCATGAGCAGAACTACACAGAAAATCCAAGGGGGATTGAAATTCTAAACAAAACTACAGGGGGCTTCATTAGGAACACCACCATCAACATCTCTCATCTTTTGAGACATCCCATTCCATTTTCTGTTGAGGCTACCTCTGTGAAAGACAGAAGCTCTTTAACGATATGAAATATGTATGTCATTTCCCTGCAAAATAACAGGCATGTTTGTCCTGAACTTGACAGATTCCTGAAAAGTGACAAGGCTTACAAATATGTTGCATACAAGGATGCACTGGTTTGATGGCCACTGCTGTCACTGTTAGCTGTGACTCCAGGGCACAGGGAACGTGTCGTAAGTATACTTGAAGTCACGGTTATGCCCATGTGAGGCAGTGTTCAGCAGGTAGCACTGCTGCAATGCAACCCATTTAGAAGTGTCATAAGGCAACATTCCTACTCCACAGAGGCATCGGGAGTGCAGTGCCTTTTTGCCATGGCAGGTTCGGTGACAGGGTAAGTCTCCTACTTGGAGAAGCTGATCTGTCTTTAGCTGCCATTATTTATGCCACCTCCCATTCTGTCATAGACAAACGAGGATATGTGAAGAGCCTGGAAGTTAAAGTAAAAGGACTTCTTCATGAAAACAGGTTGTTTCCTCCTATTCAATCTGCCATAGGCTCAGAACAAGATGTGGTAACGGAAGAACATGGAAAGGTCAGGTTATTTTCTTTAAATACTTTTGTGGCTAGAACAGCTTACAAAAGTGTCTCAAGATCATAACTTAAGCATGATATACAAAACTTGTCCAGGATCTTGCCTCAGATTGACTAGCATTGGATTCTTCCTAAGAAGGGGAAAAAAGTGAACAAAGAAAGAAATTATGAGTGTTTTGTCAGGGGAGTGCCTGCCCTTAAAGAAAGTCCTTCTTGAACATCAACAGTTGGAAACTGATCTCTGAGCTCAGGGTCCCCAAATTAAACTATATAATTAACAAATGAGTACAGTACTTTTTTGGAGTAGAGTCTGTAATTCTGCAAGTACTTAAATTATGAAATAAGGGGGAACTAAAAAGTGCATACTACTACTTCTTTAGAGCTGCAGACAGCAGCAAAATGCTGGAAAGGCTGTGTAGGGGCATTTGTAAGTTCATCCCTGGGGCTGATCTAGGCACCTGGGATAATGACATTTGAAATGCAACAATAGCTAGTGGTGTGACTAGAAATATGCCAAGGAAAAGCACTTAAAGCCCCACCCCATGCTACTAAAATGAGCAGGGCTGTTCCTTGACTTTGTTACAACACTGTAGCTGAGCTATATGTCTAAGGTTATATTCTTGTTAGAACACGATCAAGGTCCCAGCCATACTGCATATTTTAATCATGCTGTAATTGCACCAGGGGACAACAGCAGGATAACCAGGTCCTAAGATACTGACATATTTGAGGTGAAGTCAGAGAGAGCAAGAGAATATCCAGAAGTAGAAAAGACAGCATAGATGAAGTGCCTTAAGGGAAAAGACTCATGTCTGCCAGAAAGTCAGAATAAGATGGGCCTGCATAGAAATCCCATGATAGATTTACAGGCGCAGCAGTTTGATAGGTATACTTGCAAGTATAAATTCATTAAGACTTGCTCTGGTTAAAAATCAACCAGTGTGCCTTGCAGTGGAAGCAAAAGAAGTATGCTGTGTAATAAGAACAGAGAACTAATGAGAATTCTCCAAGCATGTATCAGAAACCTCTTGATTTTCTTTACTACAGTATTCCTCTGGAGAAACCCCCCATTCCGATAGCTGGCTACTCCCTTAATAGCACTGAATCACCCACTTTATCTTGCCTTTACCCAAAAGACTGTCCCTAGCATACTGTGGTGCTACTCACTCCATTCCCTGGAACTTTCAACAAAAAAACACACTGCTGCAGAAGGAAGTCAAGTCAAGTAACACAGCTGTGCTTAAAAAGGAAAAACTGTGTGTGTGCATGTGGAGGGGAGGATACAGAGATAACGATACATATCATGCAGGCCAACAAGGCACCCCGTCAGAATCAGGGGAAATTCTTCCGAAGCTACATCAGGCCAAACATGCTTGCTTTTATGGTGCTGAGAGTTTGGCAGGTATCATCATTTGCTGTCATCTCTGTTGACCAGATACCTATTCATTAACTATTCTTCTTTATTTATGTTATTTATCCTCACTCTAATAGCCAAAGGTTCTATCAGTTATCAGGTTGAGATAAAAGCCAGATTTCAGGGTTCAATAAGAATAATAAATAGAGCTAATACATGACCAAACTGCAGCCCTGAGAATTATCTCCAAGTTTCAAAATATACAAAGCATCAAATAGGAAGGAGTAACAGCATCTCATTTGCATTCATACAGCTTTTAATGTAGTACACATACTATGCTGCTAAACAAAGAAATAAATCCAAGTAGTTATTTTATTTTTTGATGTTAAATGTGCAAAAATGCACATAAGGGACGCAGAGTGACAAAGTATGTGTCAACAGGAACTTCAGCATAACCATGGTCCAGAAGAAAATGCTGACTTCGGAAGCCCAAGACTCCCAAAAGCTGGAGAGCATCCCAATGGGAGGCTTCTTCCTAATATACAATGTCACTTCTACGCTTCCTCTACAAGTCCATTATCAACTACACTGTGAGACTGAACGCTGGTCTATGGGCATTCTTAGCACTCTCAATCCAGCCATTCTTATGGCATTACTTACCTGGATTTTAAAGTAATACGAAAAAAACTCCTCACTCCACTGAACTTGCCTTCATGAGACTACAAAGCAAAGAATCATATTCTAAGAGAATTTTGGTCACTTGACATATAGGGTTCACATTTTAGGAGAAATAGCAGAAGCAATGAAGTTACCTACAATGTCAGAAGAGTTACCTAGAGTTTGTGCACACTGTAAGAAACCTATGAGATGCAGTGAAACCCCAAAGGAACTTCTGGTCATCCCTTTGCTTGATCAGCCACAAACTCAACTGAAGACGAGGAATCCTAAGGGTACTGCCACAAAGAAGTAAGCTACATGCAGAGCATCTTGTAAGGTATCTCGTCTGAGTGGGAGAAATGGATTGCTCCAAGCCTGAAACGCATCCAAGCAGAGTCAGCTTTTGCACACTAAATCTGAAGGCCTCTCAGAGCAGGTGTCTTTCAGATTGTTCATGTTCAAAGATGTGCCAAGGCTCCTTCCTCAGCTGTCCATGTCAAAGTAGTGTAGTGTCTCTCTCTGCATTGGACAGAGTTAAAAAAAAAAAAAAATCACATCAGATAAACTCAAATTTCAGACTGCTTAGCTGAAGCTTGTCTGAATGAGCCAGGTCTCTTTGGCAAGAAAAAATTGGGCTGGGTGTCTTGCAACAACACCCCTTCTTGAAGCAATCTGCTACTTCCAGAAGTTTCATCCATTCCTGCACAACATGAGATTGGCCATCTTAGAGGAGATAAAATAAGTATCTGAGAAAATCCAGAAACCAAAAGCAGAGCATATTACTAAAAGTAGGGCTACCATGCTATATAGCAGAATCCCCCATTGCAATATTGGGTAGGTAACAGAAAGACAATTCTCCTTACAGTTAGGAAGAAAAAAAAAATCCTGCCTGTGGCCAGAGCTGCATCTACAATGTGTTGGTTGGAGCAGTCTGCAGCCACCTTTATCTTGAATGCTGAGGTGTGGCTCAGGCTCATGTAGCTAGCACGCCCTAACATGCAATGCACATCTAGATTTGAGTGAGCTTTTATCAGATCAAAATGAAGTACTGCTTGCTGGGACCCGTAGTCTCTGAGGGCTGTATCTCCTTATAAGAAGACAGAGGGCCACAGGGCACGTCACGGAACTCCACAGATTGCATGTGGCCCTCCCACGGTTAGTTTGCAACATGACACACTGCCAGGAGAGAGATCAGATTGGAAATCTGGGCTGACAAGACAACAAAAACTGAAAAATCTTATGAAAATAGATCTCTCAGCTTAGAAAAGCAGAGGAAGAAAACATCTGAGATACGCGAGTCCTCCAGCAGGTACACTGCATACTTGTTACTTTTTCCCTCTACATACTAACAAACCAATAGCCGTGTATATTATTTAAATTGGCATTAACAGAAAAAAATAATTAAATAAAAAATAAAAGTGGAGGGAAATACCTTTGCTTTTCCCTCTCAAAAAAAAAAAAAAAAAAAAGTTGTTAATAGCCATCTGGTCACCTCCTTTCACAACAGTTTATTACAAACAGCCCAGAACCCAGAAGACTGTTATCAACCAGTCTTCTAGGTTGTATTTGCATCTCAACTATTACCTCTCCAAGTAAGGAGGTCCATCACTTCAGCAGAACAACTTGCAGAATTAAGTTTGTTCTTTGCTGTGCTTTTATTTTCCAGGCAAATCCCTGAAGAGTTATACCACACTTTACATGGATAGCATGACAGCTTTCGGGATAAATTACTTGAGATGGTGTGGGGCTTTATACTTGTTTTGTGAACAAGAAAATTGAAATACCTAGGGAAAGCTTGGTTTGAAGCAATCCCTGTTTAATGCTTAAATGCTTTTTCCCTTTAAAATGCAAAATTTGGAAACTGTTCCCGCTGTTACTTCAAAAAGCAATGACTTTCCCCAGTATATCTGGTGTTAATGTGACTCTTGAACCATGTCACACACAAAAATCAGAAGTTTTCAAACAGAAAACAGAGAGAGGGTTCGTCCATGTATTTTTCACTCCTGCGTTTCCTTTTAGTTCACCTCCTGGTCTTTTCAGTTTCCCTAGTTCTCCTGCTTGTGCTTTCACAAAGCTTTAGAACTAGAAGAGACCACTCAGAGTAAGTTGGTCTGCCTGCATCTGTAATACAGGCCACAGTATTTTAGTCTTCACTTGCCCTTTTCCTTCTCTCTATCATGACTGTCATCCACAGCTGCTTTTCTGCTCAGACTGACTCATCATCTCAAAGGATGAATTTCCATTTGGCTAACAAATTCCACTCTCAGAAAAACTCTGCACCACAACAACAAAAGGAAAATTGACAGCTTCTTTTAAAAAATATTTTGACGTATTATAAGAAAGTAATGTCCAGAAAACATTATAAAAATACATATAATACAGGTCACCATAATCATCAGCATGGCCGATGATTCTACACTTAGACCAAAAAGAAAAACACATTAAAAAGTTTTTAATCACTCCAGGATAACTGCAAGGATAAGTGCAAATGTCTCGTGTGTGTATATGTGTATGTATATATATATATATATATATATAGGATCACAATCCTTTAATTATATAAATAAAGGATCACAAATAAAAATCACAAGCACTGTTCTTATCACTTTAGGGCTTTATTCCATGTGCATACAGCTCCCAATCAACTTTATGAGTCACATTCATTTACGACTATGACAGTCCCATTAATAGACACCTCTGATTTGAGTAAAATCTCTATTAATACTTAATAACCAAAGCTGAGCAAGAAGAGAAAAACCTGTATAGAGGAGCCCACCACACAGTTAAATGGGAATAGACATATACAGCAGACATATACAGCATACGTGAATTTTTGCCCCGATTTCTAAGATTAGAAATTATAAAACAAACAACTAGCATATGCTCCTAGTTAAAGCATGGTGGGCTATCCTAGTTGGCAACTGTTATTCCAGCACTGCACAAAGGTGAGGAATTAAGTTGTATTTGTCAGGTTCCTGACATCAATAAAAATGTAAAGATGCTGCTCAGAGCTATTGTGCATTCTGACTTTGCCAAATCTAGTCTCAAAAAAAGTAAAAAATAAAATAAAACAACACAGAAGAACAACAGGAATAGAGCCATTCGGAAACTATTTTTTCCAAGAAACTGGTTAAGGGTATGAGTCACAAAAACACTGACTAGTATTTTCATTTACCTCTCTTACTCCAGGAGCTCTTTGTTACATATCCAAACCCGGGACCAGCAGCCATAAGAACTTGCTGGCTCCCTCCCTACATGATCTCATTTCTGGGCCAGAAGGTACAGCTAAGCAACAGCAGATGGCCATTGGAGGCTATCCAGACATACAGCGAGGTAGCTGCACCCGATCCTCAACAAGCAATCTAGCATTTGCTCTAGAGGAGGGGAAGGCAGAAACGAGAGATGAATGCTGGAACAGAGGGCTACAAGAACGGTCAATCAGCCCACATCAAAAAAAGACTACCTTCACCTAATATATTAGTCATACTAATTTAATTTCAGTCATAAAACTCACAAGTTTCTAGCTACTCACCACTAAATCACAACCCTCAGCAAACAGCAGCTGATTACAAACATCAGATAGATCAAAATAATTTCCTTCCTGTTGAAATACACCTGGACTGCACTTTGCATCTACATTTTACACTGTTCAGGTGACACAAAAGTGTCACTCACTATACTGCAATGTTAGTTTATACCAACTTTTTACAAGGCTCAAAACATTACATTCAAAAAATTATATTTTATGTGCACATGATTACAGTGCTCTCAAATCTTTGTTGAGCTGTTTTCACTACTAATGAGATGTAGAACACCTTGCAAATGTTTTTACTGCTGTGCAGTACCACAGCTCCGCTGAGGATGTGAAATGTCTACGCTGACCAACACGTCAGAGGAAGTCTCAGTAGAGCGCATGCGCTAACTGAGCAGGAATTCAGCCAGAACAGCGCAAAAGAGCAAGAGCTCTTTTCTAGTGCTCTGTATGCATCCTCTTACACAGCACAACATCCTTCAGCATCACAATTACATAAGGTTTACAGCTTGTAGGAAAGATATATGACAAGCAAAACTGTTTTCAGCACTCAAGTTAATTCACCTAAGGCTATCTCAAGTGTGCTTGTGATACTCTGCAGCTATTTTGTGACTGCAATGCACACAGCCTTCCTCGAAAAGAACTTTCTAATGGAAGAGACTATAAATACTTGCTAATTCAACCTTTTCTGTACTAAATTCCTTCTGGAACTGAAACCCTAACTCAGAATATCCATATAAGAACAGAAAGTGTGGCTATGCACAAGTAGTATATTTTACAAGTACTAAGGCCAGTAAGGTTGTTTTCTCTAAGCCAGCATTAAAAAATCAGTATGCAATATTGCACACAGTTAACCAGTAGAATATAAGACAGAACAATTATTTTTAAAAGCGCTGGACTAACACAGTGCCTTGTTTTGCAAAAGGATGTTATAAAGATACCTTTCTGTACAACGCTATAAATCCAGTATCAGATCCATTAAATCTTTTTCAAAGTTCTACAATTTGTAGTTCTAACAGTGTCTGAATTTCTTTTAAAATACTACAATTGTTCACCTATTAAGATTGACAATCATAAAAACTAAAATAAACACCAGCAAATGCCTGAAAAATTAAGATTGATTAGATGGCTATTGATAAAGACTACCAATGTGGAAATCGCAAGTTACCTTATATCTTTATATACTCATTTCTAACAGCTTTCTTTGGATTACTGGCTTTCGTTCTTCCTATTTCATACAGCGTTTCATTATTTTCCCCACTATGCTTTTTCCACTGAAGATGATGAGCTATGTACCCAAAACACCATCCCAGCGTAAGGTCTCCTACCACATATAGATGTAAAGAAAATCCAGAATGCCAGGAGAGCTCTCAGCATCAATGTCCTCCCAGAGAGCACTTCCAAGGCTCTCCCTGCAGGGAATACATGATGCCCTCCTGGAAGAGCCAAAAGGTAACAGGCACTGCTGTATGTTTGTTCTATGAGCGGAATCTATAATTACTGCTTTTAAACCATGGAGACTAACATGATATTTTTACAAGGAGCCCTGGAAATTTTAGGAACTGCTTTTATTTTGTATTTATGTGCAGAGGAGAGGGGTGTGTGGATTCATTTCTTTCAGTTCACAAGTGCCAGATGCTACTGGAAAAGGAGGACAAAAGTAAGAGAATTAGAACTCCTTTATATACTCTATATATACACCTTTATATATTCCCATAGACTTATCTGAACACTTTATATATTCCCATAGACTTAACAGTACAGAAACAGAAGGGTAACCCTGCCTTGGGTTTGCTTCCACCCCCACCTCTTTCTAGCGGGGTCTAGACAAATGCATCTCAGAGCCCAAATGCACTGCTCAACAGATCACACAGCACCCTGCACACAGTGAGCCCATGAACTGGCCCCTTGCTACAGGCCATCAGGCACCAATAAGATACCTGGCACTTTTGGTACAGAAGAGCATTGTGTGACAAGCAGGAAGCCT